CTTTTTGTCCCTTCCACTACTAGGTGGAAGGGGAGGCGCTAGGTGACCTCGGGTCGTTCATCATATAGGAAGCCTCTAGCCTATGACCATATAGTTCAATAGCCGTTAAACCCAACAAAGCAGAACCCCCAGTTGGCTCTTAAGAGAACTATCCCTAAGAGCCAGTGCATTAGACACAGTATATATGCACCGAAAGGTGCATTTCTCTCAGTGAATATAAGCTGAGAATTTACTTTAATCAATCCCTTTTTTAAGGATTATTCTTGACTAGTGTCCAGGAGACATTCAGCTTTAATCACCCTCGTGTAGTAGATAGACGTTGAACCCCATTAATCAAAAAAGAATCAGTGTGCCTCTGTAGCTGGTAAGAAGTACAGGTGTGTCTGGAAGACATTGCTAAAATAATCATGCGAATATTCTTTGAGGTATAATTTCTGTACCGTTCACCAGTTAAGTTTTCAGACCAATTATTGTCATGATTACAGTAATCATTAATTAAAATACTATAAGTGTTTGGGGAAAATTTGTTAATGACGTATTTCTAAAATTTATTCTTATTAATCATTTTTATTAGTCTTGATTTTCATTAAACTTTTAAGTGTTTTAGGTGTTTTGCCTTCAACGCACTTCTAATTAACGAATTGTTAAGCCTTAAGGATAATAACAGCATTAAAATGCTATTACAATATCTAAGGGAAAGATTGTATCGTGGATCAATAACTGATTGGTGGCACGTGGCAACCTCTTGTTGTGATAGCTGACTGTAAGAAATTACATCTGACAGGGAGGAAAATAAGTGAAGCAAAGAGTGATGATTGAGATGTTTCAGAAGAGAGAGAGAGAGAGAGAGAGAGAGAGAGAGAGAGAGAGAGAGAGAGAGAGAGAGAGACAGACAGACAGACAGACAGACAGACAGAGACAGAGAGAGATAGAGATAACACGAGAGCAGGCGAGCTCAGTGTAGGCGAGCTCGGTGTAGGCGAGCTCAGAGTGCAGGCAAGCGAGCACAGTGTGAACGGAGGAGTCCAGAGTGTCAGCAAGGGAGCTCAGAGTGAGCGTAGATGCTAGCTCACCGTGTGAGCAAACAAGAGTGGGTTCTGGAAAATAAGAAACGATAACTGTGTCCTGGAACACAGGCGGAGACCACAAGTTGGGGCTGTAGCTTCTACTTGTGTTTGCATATTAACGAATTTATGGTTGAGCACCATTTTCGACTTGCAAGAATAACACTATATCTATATTGATAGTAAAACACATGTTAACACTTAGGTATTTTTACTATCTACAATAAAAACAACTGATTTTGCACATGTGTATTACTCTTCATTTTGTCGGTATTGTACAGCATACCATTTATAATATGATGTATCTACACTGATTCATTTGGTGTAGATATAATATATATATATATATATATATATAAATATATATATATATATATATATATATATATATATATATATATATATATATATATATATATAAATGCTGATGGATGTGTCTATAAGATTCCTTGTAAAATTTGCGATAAAGTTTATTACGGTCAAACTGGTAAAAATCTCGAACTAAGATTAAAACAACATAAATATAGCATTAGAACTGGACAAGATTCCAATGCTCTATTTATTCATGTAAGAGATTTTAACCATCCAATTGATTTTCAAAAAGTTGAGAAAGTAGTATCAAGCAAGTCCATGGTCGACAGGAATATAATTGAATCTTGTTTCATAAAAAGCAGTTTTGACAATAATATGAATATTTCCTTTGGTTTATATAAATTAGATCCATTTTAATTATAGAATTTGGAAGAATTTAATAATACACTGGACAAATAATAATTTTTAAATTTTCTTGGGTAGAATAGTTGTGGGGTGAGTTGTGCAAAGGACCTATCCAAGTTGGGTCGGCCGCGTCAGGTGTTTAAACCGTTGTGGGATCTGATAGTGAGGTGCTGGCCAGACCCTTGTATAGCTTCCTTGGATGCTTTACTTTCATAGTTCCTTGATAATGTGAGTAGTCCACGAAAGCGCTTGGAATTTTTCTATTCTTTCAGAGTGGTTGTTTTGCATATATATATATTTATATTATATATATAATTATATATATATATATATTATAATATATATACATATTATATATATATATATAATATAATATATATATATATTAATTATATATATTATGGTGTGTGTGTGTGTGTGCAAAGCAACTACTGTGAAAGAATAGAGAAATTCCAAGCGCTTTCGTGACTACTCACATTATCAAGGAACAATAAAAGTAATGCATCAAAGGAAGGCATATAAAGGGTCTAGCCCACACCTCTCTATCACATCCCACAACAAAGCAACACCTGACGCGCGACTCATCAGAAAGAGAACACTGCAGCAGGTCCGCTGGCGCAACTAGACAGGTCCTTCACACAACCCACGAACAAACTATTCTACCCAAGAATTAAGAATTTAAAAATTTATTATTTGTCCAGTGTATTATTAAATTCTTCCCAAATTCTATTAATTATAAATGGATCTAATTTATATAAACCAGAGGAAATATTCATATTATTGTCAAAATTGCTTTTTATGAAACAAGATTCAATTATATTCCTGTCGACCAAGTACTTGCTTGATACAACTTTCTCAACTTTTTGAAAATCAATTGGATGGTTAAAATCTCTCACATGAATAAATAGAGCATTGGAATCTTGTCCAGTTCTAATGCTAAATTTATGTTGTTTTAATCTTAGTTCGAGATTTTTACCAGTTTGACCGTAATAAACTTTATCGCAAATTTTACAAGGAATCTTATAGGCACATCCATCAGCATTTTGGGGGGAATTCTTTATCAAAAGTTTTTTACTGTATCAAGATTTTTAAATGCAACTTTGATATTAAAAGTCTTAAGAAGAGAAGGCATATCAACCAAGTTTTCATGGTAAGGGAGAACCAACATATTTTTAGTTGAATAAGGCTGGTTGTCCCTTTTAGGATTGTAAAAAGTATTTCTAGCAATTTTAAAAGATTTATCAATTACGTTTCTTGGGTATTTCAAATCTTTAGCTATTTCATAAATTTTGGATATTTTCTCATCTATGAACTCTGGACTACATATACGTAAAGCTCTCAAAAACATCGATGAGAAAACAGACAGTTTAACTCTATCTTGATGCGAAGAATAATAGTGGACATAGGAACAGTTATCTGTAGGTTTTCTGTAAATTTTAAATTTGAATTCATTATTACTCTTAATAATTAAAACATCTAGAAAAGGCAATGAGTTATTTTCTTCAAACTCAACAGTAAAGTTTATAGAATGGGCTAAGCTATTTAATTTGCCAAGGAAATGGTGTATATCTACATTCTTGGGTTGTTTTGCATATTCTGAAATCACCTGTGTACTGTGATCTTATTGCATATATATAAATATATATATATATATATTATATATATATATATATATATATATATATTATATATATAAAATATATATATATAAAATATATATATATATATATGTCGTGCCGAATATGTAAAACTGGTCAATTAGCAAGAACTCATTTAAAATTAAGTCCTTTCTGAAATTTTCTATTATATGTTTAAAGATATATTTTTTCATTAATGTTAATGTAAAAAATTTTCAGTTTGCTCCAAAAGAATCCTAGAAAACTTACCTAACCTTATTATAACAAGAACAATTTATTTTACCCTAACCCAACTAAATACATTTTTGATTTGTTTACAATAATTTAATACTAAACAAACACGGTGAAATATATTTTTTTCGTTAGGTTCAGAATAATTTTGGCGAAATTATTGCATACACAAATTTTCACTTGTCCTATATGGCAAGATGAGCGTTGCTGTTTAAGCCAAGATCGCAAGTTCTGCCTATTCGGCACGAAGACGATATATATATATATATATATATATATATTATATATATATATATATATATATATATATATATATATATATTATATATAGGAAGGTACCACCTCTAGAACTGTCCTAGGGACCCTCATCCTCAGAGAAAAGAATAAACTTGCTTCAGGGAAAACTCAAGGTTCTCCTTGTGTGTGTGTGTGTGTGTGTGTCGTGCAGAATAGGTACAATTGGTCAATTAAAATTAAGTCCTTTCTAAAAAAAATATATATACGTTTAAAGATATATTTTTTTCATTTATATGAATGTAAAAATTAATAATTTTATACCAAAAGAACCTTAGAAAACTTACCTAACTTTATTATAACAAGCGCAATTTAATATAGCCTAATCCAGCTAAATACGTATATTTAAGTTGTGTTTACAATAATTTAATAATAAACAAACACAATGAAATATATTTTTTTCGATAGGTTCAGAATGTTTTTTTGCGAAAATATTGCATACACAAATTTTCGCTTGCCCTATTCGGCAAGAAGAGCGTTGATATTTAAGCCAAACTCGCAAGTTTTGCTATACGTCTGTGGAGTGAGCGTTTCCCCTTGAAAAATAATATAAACTCTTACCAGAACTGAGTGTTAAGATGCTGAGGGTGATATGAGCGTTGTCAAGGTTGACTTTCTGGAGGCCCAGAGCGTAAGCTTCATCCTTGAGAGCATTCTGCAGTTTCTTCAGTTCAGTCTTGACGTTATCCGGGATGTTTAAGTAGGTATAATGTGACTTCATCTTCGACCCGGAGCAGGTATCGCCCTATAAAAAGGAATAATTTGAATACCTAAAGTGTATAAGACTTTTATTAGTGCTCAATAACAACCCACATGTGATAAATGATTTTCAAAAAGCACCAAGTTGAAGATTGAGACACTTATGCAGCATATGGAAATCTTTATTAAGGAAACGTTTCGCCACAGAGTGGCTTCATCAGTCCAATACAGAGACGAGTAAGGAGAGGAAATTGAGGTAATCAGTCCCTCAGCTGAGGGACTGATGAAGCCACTCTGTGGCGAAACGTTTCCTTAATAAATATTCTCATATGCTGCATAAGTGTTTCAATCTTCAATAACCTACGAGGAGACTGAAATTCAAGAGGCTGATTGATCTGTATATTTCGACCGTCTTCTGGCATCCTCTGGAGTAGGACTCCATATGGGTGTTACTAAACAAGAAATGATTTCTTTACCTTATAAGCTTCCACTGGAGTCTACCTGAAGGATATTCCGGGAATCAACGCCAACGTGGCCGGGTCCATGACCAGGCCTCCCAGTGGATCAGGACCTGATCAACCAGGCTGTTATTGATGGCTGCACGTAGTCCAGCGTACGAACCACAGCCCTGCTGATCCGGCACTGGGTGTTTTTAATATACCTACGCCAATCAGAAGCTTTTCAATTCAATTCCGTATTTGAATTAAAAAAAGCAACTGGTTGTTGAAATTTCATCGTAATAAAGACACCCAAGTGTTGTATGTGTCTTAAGCATCAACATATCGAAAATGTATACCATTATTTATCGTACCGAATATATAAAATTGGTCAATTAACATGAACTCATTTAAAATTAAATCCTTTCTAAAATTTTCTCTTCTACGTTTAAAGATACATATTTTTCATTTATGTTAGTGTAAAAATTAATTATTTTGTAACAAAAGAACCTTAGAAAACTTACCTAACCTTATAATAAGCGCAATTTAGTTTAGCCTAATCCAACTAAATATATTTTAGATAATTTTACAATATTTTTAATAATAAACACAATGAAATATATTTTTTTCGTTAGGTTCAGAATGATTTTTGCGAAATTATTGCATACTTGCCTTATTCGGCAAGAAGACAGTTGCTATTTAAGCAAAAATTGCAAATTTTACCTATTCGGCACGACATATATAAAACAAATATTTGGAAAACGAAAAGTGTTACATAGCTCAAGTACTTTCACACTTCTCAGTGCGTCATCAGGAGCTATTCAATGATGCACTAAGAAGTGTGAAAGCACTTGAGCTAAAGATTTCCAGCCCCAGCATTGTTAAGATCGCCTGTCTGCGATTGTTTGCATATATATATATATATATATTATATATTATATATATTATATATATATATATAAATATATATATATATATATATATATATATATATGCGTGTGTGCAAGGCACTCATCAATATGTGGTTGCAGGGGTTGATTCACAGCTCCTGGCCACGCCTCTTCCTTGGTAGCTGTTATGTAGGCTCTCCCGTCTACAAGAGCCTTGTCTTACCTCTTCTTAAAGCTATGTACGGATCCTACCTCTACTATTACTACACTTTTCAGATTGTTCCACTTCCTGACAACATTCTTATAAATTATCTGAGGTTTTCAACTTTCAGTTGTGCCCTCTTGTTCCTATATCCCAATTTTTGAATATTCTGTTCCGGTTCACCATGTCACTTACTCTCAGTATTTTGTACATCGTTATCATATTTCCTCTACCCTTCCTGTCCTCCGTGTTATCAGGATGAGTTACCTTAACCTTTTCTCAAAGGTCATTCCTTATATCTCTGGGACTAGTTACAAATCTCTACACTTTCTCCAATTTCTTGGTGGTCTTGACCAGGTGTGGGTTCCAAACTGGTTCTGTGTACTCCAATATGGGACAGATGTGCACGGTTGTGAATGACTCCTTCCATAGATGTCGAAAAATAATTCTTAGATTTAACAGACGCCTATTTGCTGCAGCAGTTATTTGGATGATATGCATCTCAGGGGATCCTGGAGTGTATTCCGGGGATCAACTCCCCCGCGGCCCGGTCCACGACCAGGCCTCCCAGTGGATTAGAGCCTGATCCATCGGGAGGATCAGTCCAACGTACGAACCACAGCCCGGCTGATCCAACACTGACTTCAGGTATCTATCCAGCTCCCTCTTGAAGACAACCAGGGGTCCATTGGTAACGTCCCTTATAGCTGGTGGGATGCTTGGTATAATAATCACCCCAAGATCCTTCTCCTTGAGTGAGATTTGCTGCTTTTGTGTGTGTGTGTGTACCCCTCAAGGGAGGTTCCTTGACGCTGGTGAGGGGCTCTTGATCTAGGGAATTGGATCTGTGCACCGGTTCCCTGAACTGAGCCTGAATACCTTCCATCCCCCCACATGTGCTGTATAATCCTTCGGGGTTTAGCGCTTCCCCGTGATTATAATAATGTGTGTGTGTAATACGGTATACAGAAGACTAGATCTTACCTTCGTAACCTGGTGGTGCAGGAATATCGAGAACTTAGACTGACAGTTAACATTTGAATATATATTAACAGTACACGTACCAGACAAGAATCTACACAGGGAGACAAAGTAGCAGTGTGTGGCTGCCTACAGCCTGACGAGTTGTGATAAGATAAAACCTGATAAGACTGTCATCCATAAAAAACTCAGCTCCTCCTGATTATCTTTCTAAGACCACTTAATAATAATAATAATAATAATAATAATAATAATAATAATAATAATAACAATAATTGAAAAAAGGTAAGCGTAGTGGTCTGAAGAAATACACTATTATACAGTTTATTTACAAAGATTTACCACGCACACTAATTTAAAGTTTTAAAACTTCATTATTCATTGATGAAACATACATAGCGCTGCGCAATTTGTCACTTCACAGTTAATTCACAAAACTTCAGAAAAAAAAAGAATGTACGCGCTTCGTATCACACAATATTTCACTGCAAAACTAAATTGGTCTCTATATCCTTCTATTCTACTGTCTTGTTCTCTTTGGTCACTGTCTTTTGGACACCAGATTTACGATCATTCACTTCTATCTCCATAACACTGACGGCTGTCACTCCGAACAGCAGTAATTGAATGTCAAATGTGCGTTCATTCGTATATTGAGGCATAACTATGATCTATTTGTCTTGGGACATCCATTTTCCGAATATGTGATGTTAGTGCTATTGTAAGAAAAAAGGCACAGTACCATGACTGGAACAATACAAGAGTGAGGTAGCCAGTACAAATAGACGAGCTGAACAATTACGGGAACAAGAGAGAAAGAAAAGGTAGTGGTAAGGTAGGTAATGGAAGCAGTAGTAGAAGAATTAGTGGTAGTAGGAAGTAGAGAGAGTAGTTTAGTGGCACAAGAGAGAAAGGGAGTGAAGGGTGAAGGGAGGCAATAGTAAAGGTAGTAGTAATAGTAGAGGAATAGAGGAGAAAAAGTATTAGTAGTATCAGTAGTAGAAGTGAGGTCAGTCTAAGGACAAGAATGAGGAACACTACAGGACAATCTCTATATCACTCTAGTAAGGAGACAGAAATGTTGCTATATTGAATCTTTATTGGGAAAAATTGACCCAACTACGACTTTATTAATCCACGCCAGTGATAAACACAAAAATTATATATAGCAGAAAGAAATGTATTCTAACGTGATGTCACCTAATGGCAGTGTACTGACATCATACGATGCTGGAGTACCCTGCCAACACTACACCTGACTTCATCTACTTTATAGTACTCGGGGTCAGGGAATTGGATGGGTTGAAACCTATAAAATTCACTTGCCATGGGTTCAAAAACTCATTCGTTCCCTGGTTTGTTTACAATCGTGTTATTACGATTTCGTGAGTCATATCTTACTCTTTATTCTTTTCTCACATATGCAATATGGCGCACAAATTTTAAAGGATACGTTGAAGGTGCCAAGATGGAGTATAAAATACTCACAGTTTGAGATATTCAAGAAAACAGACGCGTTTATCTGTTTTGAATTGATAAAGCCTCTGGTGGGCGAAATGTTTCCTCAGAGAAGTATTCTAACGCTGTACATGCCGCTGTCATTTACGTTTTTGTAGTTTTTATGTACCATTATTTGAAACCTGGGAGTCAGATTCTCTATAAAATCCACTTCCACATTTAACAAGCCGTAAGATAATGAATTAGATACATGTAGACATTTCGCCAACCAGTTATTTCATCAATATAATATTGGGATAATAAATGGAAGATTGTATAAGAGGAGGTAATCAGTACCTCAGCCTAACTGAATTATATACAAAGACAGTTATAAGATACTCTTCCAGTTATCAGTTATAAGATACTCTTCCATTATTTTTATAAGTTATATCTTCTCTCAGATTTAAAAGCTAGGTCCTTTCCTTCGTTAAGCATATTATAAGGCCTTCTGAAAAGTTTAACAAACTATAGTGAACACACTCAGGTTTAACGAGCAATAGTACCCTCTCTTTGGTTTGATAAATTACTTACCCCCTAGTTGAATACGAAGTAGGATCCTTTCTAAAGCTGAACAAACTAGAGGATCCTCTTCCAGATTTAACTCGAACCTGGACACAATTCCACGATCTCATATAGTAAGCACCAGGCTGCCTCCAGTGGTAATCTAGCACAGATGTCCTCGCCTCCCACACACAAACCCGAGCAACCACCTCCACTTCACTGAAATACAGGTTAATTTCCTGGGAAGCTTATTGTTTCACGTTTAGGTGAAACCGGATAGAGTTTAACTCACAAAATGTTTAATTATTGATTGTAATACCGACAATAGTTACGTAAATGGACATATGCAACTTTACGAGATTTATTTCGGTAACGTTTTTTTTTTATCCATTAGGGGCTTTATCTAACTAATCCCTCCTCGCTGACGGCCCCATATTTGACACGGACTCCCTCTTTGACTTTTAGACAGCAACAGATTTATTCCACAAACTTTGATTATACTTCCTTTAGAGCTTCACACCGACCTTACTAACTCTACCCCTGTTGTACTCTCCATTTCCACACATTAAACTTTAACACGCCCTACCCTGCAGCTCTGTATGACACTTGTAGGTTCAGCACTTAGTTATGATTGTGTTTATAATAATAGTATCTTGATAATACATACATTGTGTGGACAGAATGAATATGTATAAAGGAAGAGTTGGGAGGTATTACTAATAGTAGTAGTAGTTGCTGTTGTAGTAGTCAGTGTAGAAGTAGTAGTAGTAACAATAATAATAATATTAGTGGTGCTACTAGTAGTAGTAAAAGCAGAAGCAGAAGTGGAGTAGTAGTAGTAGCAGTACTATTTCTATTACAGCGACTCTCTTCTTCTCCAGCCCCTTGCAGTATTGTCTTCTGGCCTTCTCTGCTTTTCTCGCTACGGTTGTGACTTGACAATGGTCCAGGACAGACCCAATCGCCATCATCTCCTAAGTGAGGATTTTTTATAAATTGTTCCTGCCACGGTATTGTGACCATTTATTCTTTGTGTTTCCCTGTACTATATTCGGGTGTTGTTCAGGTTGTCTCACCTGCTGGCATAAATATTTGCTCAGTTTTGTTTCGCTGGTGTGCGATGTTTCTCCAATGTGTACCTTTTGACATCCTCAGCAGGGAATGTCGAAAAACCTGCAGGGGCTATTTTTGGGTTGCGATTTTTTTATTTTGTTGTAGTCCTTGAGTTAGGTGCCGGTGGACGTAGCGACTTAGATGTTGCTTTGGGTGAGTTCTTCAGAGACGTTTTGGGCAACTTGGTAGTTAAGAAAGACGAATAATTTGCAGTAATTTGTGTTATTACCTAGACAGTTAAAGATCTGGAAAGCGCATTTCAAGCAATTTCCAATGAAGTTCAATGGAGATCGGAAATTTTTAGTGTATGAAGGCACATTCTTTTTCTAAGAAATTTGGGTTGCAGATATGATAGGCTCCCAGAGAAAAAAAAACTATTACGATGCCTCATTTGGTCCTTGTACCTTGACTGGATTAAATTTCAGCAGTGTGGACATTACCTCATTGTTCACGAAAGTCTCCAAAATTCAGGCCATTAATTTGCTCTGCCGCGTAGTAAACATCAGGCTAGCACAGTGAGGCCGACATCCTCAGTCTCAATAAATTTAGTGTCAACTTAAACTGTTTTATTTTCAGTAATAGCTTCTTCTAACAAAAATACGGGATGAGCATGGGGTCTCCCATCAGTGTCTTATTTTTACATGGCACATTTAGAACACGAACGTTGTCAATAACATTATCCAAAGAGGTGCATGGCGATGAATTTGTGTTCCCCCCCCCAAACACACACACGCACGCACCTAAGATCTACATTCATACACATACCATCACACCGCACCTACATACAAACTTGTACACTGCACCCCACACACACACACACACACACCCCACCACACACACACACACACACACAGGGGCCAGGAGCTTGGACTCGACCCCTGCAACCTCAACTAGGTGAGTACTCACACACACACACGCACACACGTATTTATACATCTACGACTACATACACACCCACACCTATATGCCCACTAGCACACACTCATCTACTTGACACACTTAAACATACATCTGCATACACATACACACACACATACACACACACAGCAAAGAGGCCAGGAGCTGTGAATCGACCCCTGCAACCACAAATAGATGAGTACAAATAGGTGAGTACACATGCACACACACACATTATATATATATATATATATATATATATATATATATATATATATATATATATATATATATATATATATAATATATAAATATAATATATATATATATATACATATGTTATACATGCTGATAATATATCATAAGTGTGTGTGTGAAGGTGAGTGTGCCCCGGTGATACTCACGTATTGTGATTAGCAGTATAAATTTTTCCTGATCGGAGACCTTGGGCATTTTAATATCCCTTTATAGAAGCCAGATCATGCACAGGGACAATGAAAATTCTGTTAAGCCTTCGTCCCAACAGAGGAATGCTTGGATCAAAGGCTCAGTCGCAAGCTGGTAGGTATTCCCAAAGTGGTGGGTAAGATTTTTGGTTAAAAAGCATATGCGGTTAAAATTTGTCCAAAGGTTTTTTGGGGAGGTTTCGGGGGTCCCATTCCCGCATAGATATTCCCAAAAAAAAAAAAAAAAAAAAAAAAAAAAAAAAAAAAAATGTTTGTGTATATTTCGGCCCTTTTTTTGGGTCTTGCGAATTCCTTGCATTGTTAATATCTCTAGTAAGGCTGATGCATGCAGGGGATGAGATGAAAAGCTGAAAGCCTTCTCCCTGAAAGCTGGCTGCCTTGGATCAAAGTCTAGCGCAAGCTGGACTCCAAGGTATTGGCCCCGTGTGGGTAGATTGGTAAAGCACTGCGTACCGTCATGTAGGTTCGAGTCTCCTTCAGCCAGAGATCAGTGTTTGTGTATATTTGCCTTGCTTTTTGCTGAATTCCTAGTAAGTATACATTATAATTCTATATTTATAAATTCTATCAATATAATTTGGTATAGTTTGTAAACATTATATTGATTATTAGAGATATTGTTTTATTTTTAACTTATTAAAAATATAAATTATATATATATATATAATAA